TGCAATCATTTCTGGGCGGGGTTCAAGAAAAAAAAGAATGATTGTAAGAAATGCAATCATTTGACCCCCCCACCCCCCCTGCAATCATTTCCTGTGCTGGGGTGATGTCCACGCTTCCCAGGATCCACTCGCTGTCGATGGCGGCGCGCCTTACGAGGAGCCTGATGCTTTCACATGGGGCTCCTGACGCATAGACATCTGTTTGCTCACGTGTGGTAAATGTCTGGAAATTGCCACACCCGACAACGCGTGTCTTGAACCTCCCTGAAAAAGCCTTCTGCGTGAACACAGCCTTGCCAGGAATGAGTTCTACGTTGCCGCCCTGGGCCGACACCAGCTGCGTGAACTCCGGGTCGGAGAGCGGCGAGACGGCTGGGGTTGAGACGACAAGCGAATCATATTCCTCGTGCATGGACGGTGTCCACTTGGCCAAGTTTTGCCGAACGATCTCTGCAGGGATCGTCTTGGTTTGGAGAGGGGCCTCTCCATTTTCTCCCAAGTCCCCTGGAGACAGAGCACAAATCCGCTCATCCAGTTCGGGGAGCTTGTCCTTGCTAGCAACACGGCAAACCCGATGCTGCTCAAACCTGAGCAACACACTGGCCTGCGCCTCAAGGTCTGCCACTCCTCAATCAGTGCCGGGCATGGTTCGCCTTCGCGCTGACGACCTCGGGCTCGGTTGAGGTTGGCTGCAAAGCACTCAGCATCTCAGGCACCAGATAGCGGCAGCTTTCCCACTCTGGATTCAATGCGTCACCTTGAGGAGGCAGGCTCTCGCAGCTGGGTGAGCGAGATAGGGGAAAAACGGCAGGGCCAGACGCAGCGTTATCCTGAGGGGACGGCACAGCTCCCCCAATGCTAGATTCGGAGGCTTGGACGTCGACGCTCGTGGCAACCTCACTGTTTAAATGCCTGACTTTGACGCTCGTGGCAACCTCTAAATTAAAACCTGGGACCTCTGCGTCTGCTGCTGCTGGACTGCTGCGTCCTGAAACAACATCCTGAGGGACTACTATTCCCTCAGGATGCCTGCCACAGTCCACACACATCACAAGGGCCATTGCCGGCCTGCAAGGGCTCCTAACACATCAAACAAACCCTAGGGGGTTCTTGAGGTCTACCTAGAACCTTAACTAGGGGTGAATGCTCCTCAGAACGGGGGACCTCTGCGTGTGCTGCTGCTGCGAGACTGCTGGGTCCTCGGATGGCCGCCAGACGGGGCCGAACATTACGATCAATCCCTGAGGAGGCTGGGTATGAGGCTCCTTCCTCCCCAGCGTTGCTCGGGGCGCTTTCCTCCCCCGGTGGGTGTGAGGTTTCTCCTTCCTCAGGCGCCGCCTCATCATCACTTGCAAGGTTGGGATAGTCCGGGCGCGGGGCACCGGTAGGGTTGAAGACTTGATTGCGCTGTGCTTCGGCAATCTGCATTGCAAGGAAACGTTCTTGCCACACGGGGTCAGTTTGTCGAGCAACCTCGATGGACGGCCCGCTCGACTGGGCACGTGATGTATGTATCGTCCAAGAACGCATACAAGTCCTCACCCGGGCGGAGGGTGGTATGGGCCGCCTGCAATGCCCGGTGGATACCAACCGCAGAGAGCCCGGGCATCAGCGGGTCACCTTGCTCACCCCCCTCCGATTGAACAACAGTATTAGCATGGCCGGATTCGTCATAGAATAAATACTCGTTGTCCCTGCCAGAAAACATCATAAAACATCCGGACAAGCCGGATGAGTGACGCCAGATCCGGGGAATCATGGAAACCCTGAGACATGCGCTGCGGGAGGTGTGATCGTACGCCCCTACACCATCCACGCCCACCACTGTTTTTTTTTCCCCACGCCTTTTGTTCGGCTGCAGAAGTGTCCCTCGGTCGGTCCACGGCTAAGCAGCAGCCGTTGAGACTAGCCAGTTCTGCCCGGCAGCCGGCTGTCAGTCGGCGGCAGCCCGCCCGCCAAGAGGTCTCCCAACGGGACCTCCTGGCCATCCAGGGGATCGGCGGGCGATGCGGCCATGGGCAGTTCCAGCAACGAGCACGCGTGCGTGTGCGGGCATTGAATAGCAACCACAAAGCCCACAACGGAACCGAAACAGCGCCAAGGGACAAGGGCCACAGGTAGGATTTGCAGCGTTCAACGCCAGTACATACAAAACTTTCGATACGTTCAGGTCCAAGCATCTCTCACGGCACCCGTTCTTGACACGAGACAACCCTCATATGCTTCCATCTTGTTGCGGACAAGCTTTATACCGCCCAGTATCATCACATTTTGAGTAGGGCGTACCTAGGTTTGGATTAGCAATTTGATGAAGGTCTCGCCTCCGTTGCACATGTGCTGCTTTAGCTTTCTCGTCTTGCGGCCAACTTGCGCAATAGATCGGCATGGTCTTCAACTAACAGCCGTCCGTGCAAGAGAAACATGCTACAAATGGACCCTCGCATCGCCTCACACAGGTGGCCGTTGCCACAGGCTGGCAATGCCGAAATTCAAGGCAAATCCGGCAGCCTTCTACGAATCATGCTGCAGCACAGCAAAACCCATGCGAACAAGCTCTCAACTTTATCGAATAAAGTTTTCGCCTATGTTGCAACACTACAATCTACAATCATTCCGGTGTGGCGCTGGAGGACCGCGGCCGCCTGGACCTCGTTGTGTACGGCGCCACGCCGAACGGGGTCGCCCTGTGCTGCGACGCGACACTGGTGTCCGCCTTGACCCGCAATGGCCTGCCTGCCCACGCGGCAAATTCCCGGGATGGTGCTGCAATTGCCGTTGCCAGAAGGCGCAAGGCCGCACGCTATCCAGAGCTCGGCCGAGGCGGACCCCAGCGCCTGTGCGTGCTGGTTGCTGAGGCCAACCGGGCGGTCAGCGACGTCAGGGGCCCGCGCGCGGATGGCAGTCGGCCCAGGAAGCCCATCAGGCGGCAGAGGCAGCCTCGACGGCTGACCACAAGCGTAACCCGCAGTATTGCAGTGCAGGTGCAAGGCGCGACGGGCGGGCTTTGGCAGCAGGGGTGGCGGGCCCTTGGGACAACAGCGTGGCGAGGCAGCCGCGCGCGACCTCGTCATGTCGGCGGGCAAGGTCTTCCGTGGCCCCGGGCGGCAGCATGCGCAACAGGTAGTTGGCCCGCGGGGCGGCACAGAACAGCAGGGGGGGGGAGCCACGGGCATTGCAGGTCACTGACGGTGGGCAATTTACCAAGCAAGTGATCCTGGATTTGCCGTTTCCGACTCAACTCTCGCCGAACAAACGCCTCGCTCCCCAGAAAAACGAGCAGCCCTTGCTCAGCGGGCGGCAAAGTCGCCGAACCCGTCCGGACCGGGTCGGGCGCCTGGCGTCTGGAGGTGGGCAATGCCAAGGGACTCTTCGCCTGCGGAGTTCCACGCGCGTCTGCGGAGGCGTATGCTAGCGTGGCGCCAGAGTGCGTCTTGCAGGGCCCCGTGCCGCGCACCAGCAACGATGTGTCAGGCGAAGATCGCCTCTCCATCTCGCAGGCCGGCGGCAATTTCGCACAGAGCCGCATGCTGCGCAAGGGAGGAGCGCGGGCATCAAGGGATACCTTTTTTTTCCTCGGACTTTTCTCCGCAGCTGTCCGTCCCTGGTCGGGTGAAACAGCTAACGACAAATTGCAGGCGCCTCTCCAGCGCTGCCGAGCGCAAACGGCGCTACTCCTACCCTTAATTCAGCTCCCTGCAGACATTTTGACACCATTTTTCCTTGTTTCTTGCGCGGTGCCAAAACTAAAACTGCAGGTTTATCTGTCCTAAACTACCTTTTTTGGTGCTTGGTTTGGCCGGTGTTGGAACCAAAACTCAGCTTTGTCCAGCAAATGGTGACATGATCGCGTAACTAGCGCCTTGGCCGGTGCTATACACAGGGAAGCAAACACCTTGCACCCTGGAACACCTTGGCTTCTAGAAATTATTGTCTTGCCCCTTTTTGTTTGTTCGTTTTCGTATTTTATCGTACTTTGCTTGAAACACAAATCGTCCGCCCGCCTCTCCTTGTGGCCCGGCCGCCGCTAACCCTGGAACTCCTGGTCCACGGGTTATGCGGGTGGTTTTTTGCGGCGCATTGGGTTGGCTGGCTGGCTGCCGGGGACCGTCACAGGAAAGTGCATGTGTCTTGACGGCGCCAGTCATCTGGTGTCTCAAGCTCGCCAACATCCACTTTTCTGCTGGTGACTGCCTGCTGATTCCGGTTGCAGTAGGCTAGGCCCTGGATCTGTGACTACGGACTGGCACGCGGGAGAAAAATTCCACCACACTTGCGCCAGATCTGACGCACGTTGCGCTCCGGCGCCGCATGCGCTTGCCTCTGCCTCTGACACGCGTCAGGTGCGGAGGAGAAGGTGCGCCAGGCTGTCGTGCCCTCGTATAGACAACCTTGGAGACCATGCCATGGCATGCCCGCGCATTGGTCTGCTGGCTCGGCGTGGCTATCGTATTCGAACGAGCGGGAATCCAAGTAGTCCGGGAGGCGATCGGGCCAGAAGGGCGAATCGTACCACAGCAGTGGCTGGCAAATACCACCGCGCCAGGAGTCGCAGCCGATGATCGCCGACGGTCATCGCGCATATCGCGCGCAGCGAGGCTTTTGCTGCGACGCAACCCTTGCGCCGCCCGTCCGATGCAATCGCAGCCTTGGAAGCCCCATCGCCGGCGCGCCTGAGCGGGATGGGTTTCACTTGTCACGGCGCAACGCCGAAAGCGTGCCCGTTACCCCGAGCTTGCTCGCCGAAGTCCACATCACCTGCACGTTCTGGGCGCAGAGATCGGGGGGCGGTTGGAACGACGACTCCCAACGTCTTGTGCAGCGCCTATAATCGCCATGCGGGCACGCCGAGCCCCTGCCGGGCTACGCGGCGGCGTCGCCGCAGGGTTGGGCACGGCGGTGGTGGGGCGCCTTGGCGGTGGCAGTCCAGCGTGCGGCATGCAGTGCTGTGCTCGGCCCATTTGTGCTTCGTGCCGGATCTCAACCACCGACTCTGGACAGTCAAACTCCCCAAACGACAAACAATGCCTGATGCACCCCTCAAACGTCAGCGAGAAAAAAGGCTTACAATGAGTCAGTGAATGATCTTGCAGAATCTTGCATGATCGCACGGTTGCCGAGTTCTCGATTGCTTTTGCGAGAGAAGATGCATGTTGCAAGGAGGTGCATCAACCCAGGCCCGGCACAGGAGACAGTCTTGCAAGCTACAGGTTCTCTCGCTGCTTGCATGAAGATGAAGACCGTGGAGGCAAGCAGTGCTCAGATCCACGACCCACCATGTGCAGAAATGCCCACGCAGGCCAAACGTGCATAATTCCCATGTCAACACGGACCACACACTCAAGGTTATTTTTCCTTCAGTCTGCTGCTTGGCGATCCCTTCAGTGTGCCCAAGAAGGAAGCGGCGGAATTCCAAATGTCAAGTTTCACCCGGTCTGCCTCTTTGGGGATGCACGCCTACACTGGTCGCAAGGGGAGGTGCCAAGTCCAATTCCGCGCATTGAGGCATTGAATTGACGCAGCAACAACGCTCTGCCTCCCCTCGAGAGCTCT